GCTGGATATCAGTAAACCATTTACTGTTTACTTAATAAAAAATAAAGCAACTATGATATGCCATACCATTCTATTTAAATATTCTTACATGTGCATTTGCATGGAGCGTGTTTAAGATTTCATTTCCCAGAATTGTGATTTCACATTTGCATAGCATGTGTTATTAAGAAAGTCAGAATACTTTAGAAAAAGAATTCACTAAGTAGATTATAGCATATTAAGTAAAAATCCAGCAGACCTCAGTATCAAGTGCTGGATTCTTACTGGATATGGAGCGAAAGGACATGGGGGTCTTACAGAAGTTAAGCAATCCATCAGCATCAGTCATGAGACATACAATTCAGGAGGTGCACTGTAGGGGAGCTGTGAACTAGTTTATCCAGGAAATTAATTGATTTTAATCTCTATCCTTAGTATGCTTAGTTGAATGTTATTGATATGTTGAGATAAGAGAGTTGAAGACTAAGGTTTGGGGACTGTCCAGTCTTGAGTATCTTGTGATGTACATATTCTCTTAGGTAATAAAATGTTTATTATACCAAAAGAAAATATATATAGTAAAAGTCATTCTACGAGAAAAAGAATTTCTGAAGAGTTAATACTGAACTAATAATCCAACTGGATTACTATAGAACTTCACATTTTGTAAAAATAAATAAATTGACAAATTGAAACATTATCCAATTATTTGGAAAACATCTAGTTTTGCTATACTTATCAACAAAAGTGTTGGTGACATACAACCAAAGGAACTAGCTAAGTGGTCACTATATATCAAGAATGTAACATTAAGACAATAAAAGATCATCAGAAAGATAATATCCACATGCTACATCATCAAAATCTTTTCTTCTAAATAAGTAGCAAAATTATCTTTCAATGGGAATTCTCAAAAAATAACTGGAGATCAGTATTTAAATTAGGGGAAATTCCTTAAAACTCCCATTTCACAAACATTCCCATCATGCAAGAAGGGAAGAATTTTCAAAAATGGGAGTTGAGCAAACATGGTTTTGTTAATGTGTCCAGAATTCAGATTTTAGAGGTCCTACTGGTGTGTTTTACTTTTTTTCATTTTTGGGGAGAAAGGGATAGATTAGGGTGCGGATACATAGGTTCCACTGATGTTTTAGCAACATGGCATATTCATCATCTATGCAGACATAGAACTCACTTGAGTCAAATTGTTGACTTGGATATTGAACCTTTGAATTATATCAGTTACGTTCTTCTTTGGCACAGCTTTTCCTGAAACAGAAAAACAAAACATGTAATGACTGCTAAAAGTATCCTACATTAATTTACATTTTCTTTCAACTATTTTAACAATGTCCTGCTGACTCCAAAAAGGTTGAGCTGCCCGAGCCCCGAAGAGAGCCATGATTTTACAAAAAAAAAAAAGCAAGAACCTACTTATATTCAAAGAACTTCAACCAAACATATGTAGGAAGTTCCAGTTGAGGAACAGAAAATGCTTTAAGATGATGAGAAAAAAAATTCAACAGGGAACAGAAACAGATTAATTGGAGTGGAAGGTGCAGAAGCTGGTCATCAAACATCCTCCGGTATATATAACAGGTAATAGGAAAAAAAATAAGTGTGTCCCATAGCCGGCTTCTGAGGACTAGATTACACCAAATAGAGTTAAAAATAGAAAATAATCAATTAAATCTGCTTCCCTGTTGAGCTCAAAAAGCACTATTGGAAAATTTGATTAAAGCAATATAGACAAATGCAAGCCAACAACATCAAAGTGACAACTTGTGGTCTTCCTCCTAAAGTACCACTAGGACCAAAGTAACAACCTTCCAGTCTCCTTCCTGAAAAAATACTGCCAAAGCTTTGAACTAATTACAAATCATTCATACCATTACCAGAAGCAAGAAAAATTCCAATTTCATAAACATGAAACATAACATTTCAATGAAAGAGGGCCAAAATCGCAAACAAGATTCACCATGTGTTCCATACAAGATGCAACAATTTGAACCTAATTACAGAAGAATATCCATATTTAACATAACTTAAACTGAGAAGAATTCTGGTGTGAATCTTAGCCTTCTAAGCAAATATCACAATGGAAAGAGGAGATCGGGATAGAATAATAAGAGTTGAAAAAGGATAGCAAAGTGAACATGCACAAGCTCCTAAATTTGAAATTTGACAATCAAAAGATGAAGAATTTTCAGACCTGGAAGATGGATAATTCATCTTGGAAAAATTGAGAAAATTCCAAGTAATAGAAGTCTTGATTCACTCGTATTGATAACGCAAGAAGTCATCCACTTGAAACATTAATCTATAACATATTATGTCGTGAAAAGAGTAAAACAGTTCTGAAGGACTTGTATCATTCAAGTCCTCACAAAAAAAGAGTTAAACAGTTAATAAATTGAAGCATTTGTTATAGATAACGATTTTTTACCATTAAAAATCCACTCAGACTTGTTCCGCGTATCTATTTTTCGCACAATAGTTAACTGGTCCTCTTTGGTTTCCCCTCTCAAGGAAATCTTGATGTAACCTGATTCTTCCCCGCGTTTCACAAATGCTCCAATACTAGAAGCCCTCCCCAAAAGCTGCAGTTTTACACAATTTGCATCTCAATTAGTATAAGTTCATCCCTGAAATTCACAGGTAATAATTTTTTGATTCCTTCAACTTCTTCTGACCTGAGGCTCACCACCAAGACCGAGTGCTATTGCACAAACTAGAGAACTCTTTCCAGAGCCATTTGGTCCAATTACAAGATTTAATCGGGAGCCTGGTTTGCATGTCAACTTGCTGAATGTCATGAAGTTATGAAGCTCAATCTCAGTTATGTTTCCTGGCATATAATCATCTTCGCCCCTACACATTATAACACAAATATGCAAAATAAGCATCCTAAACAATGAAACCAGTATTCCAATTGAACTCACTAAAAAAATCAAAGCCACAAAGAGTTAGGATCCTTTTGAAACTTAGCAAAACGAACCTCCTCGGTCTATGGCCTACCAGTTTCATCTTGTTGGTGGAAATCATCAGTTCAACAAGTAAACAAGAACTATAACCAGATATATCAGTAAAACGCTTTTTGGAATTGGTTTTACAGATATTCAAGTGAAATTATACAACAAAAGGACGAATAAACCCTAATATTATAACACGCCTGATTTTTTTGCAGAAAAATACCTTAAAAAAGGAAAAGAAGTTATCGATCACAAGAAAAGAGAGAAAGGTCAAAACTTGTATGCAGTGTAAGTGAAACGTTTGTAGTACCTGGTGATTTTGGGGCGTTTGGCCCGACGTTCCGACATTGAAGTAAACGGTAAGGAATGAAGGAAGGAAATCAGAGAAATTACTCGGCGCGAATTCCACGATAGAAAGCTCTCCTAGGGTTTTCTTTGCCGGAGAAAAACTCGCCGGCGACTAACGAAAGATGATTTTGGCGCCAAAAGAGACTTGGGGAAACGTGTGACCAATGCTTCTAGATGCGGCTCTGTCTACTCTTCTGGGGCCCAAATATTCCTGCGTGTCAAAGGATTATTGGTGGTTTTTTTATAAAGAAAATGTTTTGTAAAGATGTTGTAAAAAAGTAGGAGTAAAAAAAAAGTTTTTTTTAAGTTAATAAATATTTGAAAATAAATTTTTAATTGGTGTTTTTTATAAAGAAACTTTTTTGCAAAGATGTTGAAAAAAGGTAGTACCAGAAAAAGTTTTTTAAGTTAATCAATATTTGAAAATAAATTTTTAAATTTAAAAAAAAAATTGTTAAATTTTATAGGTTAATAAATATTTGAAATATAATATATTCCAAAATTTATCATCAAATGTTAGCGAAATTTAAATTTTACTTTTTCGAAATTAAAAAATTATTTGTCAAAATGTATAAACCTAATAAAAATGTTATAGAAAACTTAAACAGCTTTATAATTCAAACTTTATTTTTCCAAAATTGTTAGTAGTAGTACATTTAAAATGATTATAATTTACTAATTTATTTTGATAGATATTTAAAACGTCCATAACAAAAAAAAAATTACTTTAAAATTGTGTTAAAGGCGGTGAGCTCTTTAGGTGAGTTAACACAACATGATCTTTTTACTTATTTTAGAAGAAGCTTTGAGAAAAATTTAAATGATACATTAGGCCTGTTATGATAAGTATTAGGTAGGACATTTTCATGCATAAATTACAATATAACCTTGACTGAATTAAGTCATAGTAAACGTTTCGTTTTTATTTTTGTTATAGTTTTTTTTTTTAAATAACAAAGATTAATAACAATAAAAAAAAACATCTTGTGTGGAAAGTAAATTTCTCTAATATTCTAATTTCTTATTATCTCACGCATTATGTTTTATATGTTTTTAAAGAATCATCTTACACTCCCATAAGCTCAACTTTATACCTTTTATTTTGCAAGCTAACCTATTTAAAGCTCACATGATAATCACAACTTTGTGAAGTTTTTAAGTACCAACTCTTCTTAATGCCCGAAATTGATTTCACTATCAATAATGAATCACACAATTTAGTTATACCATACGAGATAATACACATCACATTTATTTCATCATAACATTTATAAATTTTGTTAATCTTTTAATATCAAAAGTCTAACGTAAAATGATTATTATGAAAGGAATCAATTCATAAATCTATTCCTAAGATTACTACTAATTTGTTTCCTTTTCCGCTTTAATAATTAACCATAAGTTTCTTCACATTGCGTCGAGCCTGTGGACAACTTTCTGTGGCACGTGTTTTTTAGTTAAATGAAAAACGACATGATTTTATAACAAGAAGCGTTTGTAGTCCAACGGTTAGGATAATTGCCTTCCAAGCAATAGACCCGGGTTCGACTCCCGGCAGACGCAACGCTCTTTTTATCTTTCGATTATTATGTTCTTTTATTCAATCTATGGAAAATGTTAGTTGCTGGTATATTCACTTTTAGTGAACACTGTTGAGCTATATGAGACAGAAGCATTCGGTTCTCCGAAAATCTGGAGCAATAATCCAAGGTTTTCAGAATATTTTTTTTTAATGCTAGCTTCAAAAGTTTGATAACTTGGCTATACATGTATCACAAGTATGGTACATGACAACATTCATTCTGACTTGTGCAGAGCATGAAGAATATACAAGGAAGCAGAGGACAGGAAAATACACACGGAGTAGCTCAATAGATCAGCACCAGTGGCTATAGGGACCATCTTGCTCCTCTCGAACATCTTGACTAGAAGGATCATAACAATTACATGTCCAACTTTGGTTTTAAGTTCATCAAGCGAACTGATCTTCATCCATTTTGGCCTCTCCTGCATAGCACCATCAACTGAATATTCAAACCAGAGAACTAAACAGATAACTCTATACCTACAGGCTACAATTGCACATACGTTTCGTGTTTGATGCATGCTAGATGCACTCACAACTCATAACAGTAATTACAAAAGAAGTAACGTTGCTTCCTGAAACTTATACTTCTTATGATTACAACAATCTTCAGCCAAACATAATGCATTGTAGTTCTGAGAGTACCACAATCTTTAGCAGACTACTAGCAAGTTTAAACAATTCTTAAGTAACCAGCATCATTTATGTCATCTCTAATTTTCCTTCTCAAGTAATCAAACAGGAATGAACACACTGAAGTTTATGAGGAAGGCAACAATATGTAGTGGAAGTATAAGAACCATTAAGATTTGCGCAAAAACAGTTTTGGGAAAGCAATAGTGTACATAAGAAGATCCAGAGTGCACTATACCTTCAGAGCAAACATCCCAAACAAGGAAGAATGCTTGAGGGCACGGTCGGCAGTTGGACTCCCATCAGCAGAGAAATCAGTGATAAACAATCCATACAAGCCCATCCCGAATATGAACATCACGGTCCCAGCAAGATAAACATCTGCATTAAGAGGAAAATAAACTCAGGATCACTAAAGGAATACTAAAAGTTCAGATGAAAACAATGAAGTACTCTATCACCCTGCTTGACATTCTAATACAGTTCTAAAGTGCTGATAAGCTTTTATCTCAAAATCAAAATATCAGTGCAATCATTGAATGTCTCCCCTCACTGAGGTACCTCTTCTACGATTTTTCTGATTACAAACATGATGATCTTTATGTTAGGACCGAAATAAGCAGGTGTAATGTGGAAGCTAGCAAAGCAAACCTCGAAAGACCACGAGTAAGAAGACAAACGAGAAACACACCAAAAGAGACAGATTTAACGTGGTTCGGTCAATCGACTTACGTCCACAAAGGAGATGAGCAATCCACTATAAATATGAAAGTACAAAATATAGAGAGAAACAACTTCAACCAATTCACTCAGAATACATGGGAGGTTCACACAAGTGATAATGTATCAAGCTTGTGACCCATAAATTTTCCCCCTAACCAAAACTCTCAAAGCCCTTGAAACTACATTGTGAATGCTAATTATGTTAGAAGGAACAAACTTATGTTTATAGAGTTCTAAAACCTTTCCTACAAGAAAAGGACTACTCAAAATATTAAAACTTTTTCCTAAAAGGAAAACTTATTTATGGTAAGAAATCAGGGCAAATAAACCCCAACAAATCTCCCCCTTGGCCTGAATTTCTGACAAAATAAATTTGTCCACCTTCTTCACATAATTTTTAGGATCTTGCATCTCTTCTCCATAATCTCCTCCATCAAACCTACGTCTCGACACAGAGAATCTCTCTGAAACAATTTCTCCAACAAAGATCTTAATTACTGTCAAAAAGGTTGCGGCTAAAACTACACCCACCAAGATGAACACTCATCTGTAACCTGGTTCCATCATTGAACCATGGCTCTAATACCACTTGTTAGGACCGAACTAAGCAGGTGTAATGCGGAAGCTAGCAAAGCAAACCTCGAAAGACCACGTAAGAAGACAAGCGAGAAACACATCAAAAGAGACAGATTTAACGTGGTTCGGTCAATCGACCTACGTCCACAAAGGAGACGAGCAATCTACTATAAATATGAAAGTACAAAATATAGAGAGAAACAACCTCAACCAATTCACTCGGAATACATGGGAGGTTCACACAAGTCATAACGTATCAAGCTTGTGACCCATAAATTTTCCCACTAACCAAAACTCTCAAAGCCCTTGAAACTACATTGTGAATGCTAATTAAGTTAGAAGGAATAAGCATATATTTATAGAGTCCTAAAACCTTTCCTACAAGAAAAGGACTAGTCAAAATATTAAAACCTTTTCTTAAAAGGAAAACTTATTTATGGTAAGAAATCAGGGCAAATAACCCCAACACTTTAAGAAATCAAAGATCATTTCAGAAACTCACCTATAGCTTCAACCAACCGCAGAACCATCTGTCCTGTGTGAATTCCTTTGACACAGCTCGTCCAATAAACCTTGTAAGCGTCAAAAATGTAGATACAACCCTACAAAAGGGAATTTAACTGTAAAAACAATGGATAGAACCCGTAAAGTTACATTACCTCTTATTTGATAATGATCTGTATTAATTATAAGGAAGAATAATGCACAGATTAGTCAATGATTAAGCGTATGAAGCAAAACCAATGCATGTTCAATGCCTTAAAATACTAGAGAAAGGCTTACAAAAACATAAATGTACCTAAATAAATAATTAGCTTAGGATAACTGTATTTAGTAAACTATAGACAGAAAATCAATGTTTTACACCTAAGTTACAAATGGATTACTGTTAGTCTGATTTTCAACATGCAATTTTCATCGTATAAAAAAGAGCTCGTAAAGTTTCACTCAAAAGCATCTAAAAATCATATAAGATCAATGAACCAACATCTTATCGATCTAAATCTTTAGATTATATTTGGTCAAACAACAACAAGTAAGAGGCAGAGTCGGAATTTGAAACTTATGAGTTTGAGATTTTTATTCTTTTAATTTACTCTGTTCTAAAATAATACTTAATTTCTAAAAATTCAATGAACTTCTTAAGACAAATACACAAGGGTTTAGATTAAAGCTACTCGTTAAAAACAAACTAAGCAATGAGGAATTACATTGAGGAAGCAGAGCAGTGAACCAGCCAATGAACCTCCAATAGCAAAGAACGCCAGAAAGCGGAAGTCAAATATGGCCTGTTCAAATTCAGATATCAATTTATGTTCATATTAACAACGAGTAGTAATAAATACATCAAATTTTTGTACCATTTCGACAGTTGACTCAGTGTTCTGAACAAATCTAACAAGTCTATTTTGAGGGGTCTTAGAGGGCTCAACAAAGGGCACTACTGGTGATGTTAGTACAGTACTTTCACTTGATGATTCATGAGAAGGAATAGCTGATGCTGATGCGGATGATGCGCGTATAATAGGCAATTGTCTGTAATTTGTTCGAGTTTGAAGGTTAGATATACGAAATGATAGTGAAACGGAGGTTAATGCAGCCATTGAAGCTTATCAGAAAGAGAATAAAATTTGAAATAGTTTTGTGAAGAAGATTGCTACTAGCAAATACTAGTCATATAAGAGCAAGAGGTACCACATGGTTTGTTTGGGCCCAGCTGTCTTTCTCAATAAGGCTCTATTTTGGCGCCTTTATCTGTCAAACAAACAAAAAAATAATAGGACAATTCTTCTAACATTTTTTTCACATTTCTTTGGTATGTACTCCCACTATACTCTTTACCAATCGAATAAATTATAGGGTTGAATATGATGTATTACGAATATTATCATTAATAATATTGATATTAGTTATATTGGTATCAGAGGCGTATCTAAGGGGGTCACCGAGTTCACGTGAATTCATGGTTCCCTCTCGAGATTATATATACTAGTGTTATATTTTTTAAAAATATTGAAATATAGATGTGGGAATCCACACTTGAAGTATCACATAATGCGATTATAACTGGGTGCACCTCCCTCCTCGAGGTTAAAAATTTGAATTTTATATTTATCTTGTTTTAATTTTCTTTCTAAAATTAGATAACACTTCTCTAAGTGGTAATTGCTATATATATATATTAAGAATTAATTTTAGACCTATAATTTTAAAATTTTAACGATTTTTAATAGTAAAAACCTAAACGTCGAATCGATCAAATTTATATTATAGATCAACCTTTTTATAACAGTGCACCCATCATCTCAAAATACTGGATACGCCTCTGGATTGGTATATGTTCTGCTGAAATTGAACAAAATAATTTTTTCTTGAAATTGATAAGGTTTATTTATTGCATATTTAAACCTTACGATAGCCTAATTGTTATTTTGAATTTGACAATTTGATAGTTTCGACTAACTTAGGTGTTGATGTGGGAAAGAACGTAAATGTACTATTCCCTCCGTTTCATTTAAGAGTTTAAGTTTTGTGCACCGTCGGTGTATGAAATTTCTACACCATCAGGTACTTTTAATGAAATTTAACCATAGTAACTTATTTTAATAAAATAACAATAATTATAAAAAAGAAAAAAAAATAGAATATCAACAGTTGAGTCCTACTTGGATTCTAATCATATTTATTTCCATAACTAAATTATTTTCTTTCCAAACTTAAATACAATATTGAGTTTTACCGTAGGTTTTCCCAGGATCATGCTTATGTAGTTCTTCAAAGCATCAAAATTTGTGAATTTGCTAAGAAATAATTTTTAGAGCATCAGGCGATTTTGAAACTTGACAAGCTTCTTCTACTTAGTGGTTCGTTCTTATACAATAAGAACAAATTTCACATTTTTTTTCTCGTTTGCCAGCATAAAAAAGCCTCTTTTGAACAATATCTTCATGAGCAAATGAATTTCAATGTACTAAAAATAAGTGAATATAGTCTCATGAGAGGTGAATATTGTATCTTAAAGTGTTTTTATATTGTCCCCAATACGTTTGCTCTGCTCTTTAGAATGTTGGGAAGGAGTTTATTGATTGAACTTTCATTAATATTGAATATGTTTTATAATTGAAGTGTTGAAAAATATATGAGCAGATTCATTATTGTAAGCTATCTAACTTTCTTAATTGTATTTTGCAGGATTAATGGAAAAATCAAATGTAGATGTGCAAAATATAGGAGTTGAAGTTCTATTAGAAGAAAGTGACATGGAGGGAACTGGACAAACTGCTTCCGATATAGGTGTGGAAAATTCAAAAGCTCCCTACATTAGTAAGGAGTTTCAGTCTCTTGATGATTCATTTAAGTTTTACCTTGATTATGCTCATCGTAATGGTTTTAGTGTGCGCCGTGGTCGTATGACTAAATCAAGGAAAGATAAATCAATAATTGGTCAAGAATTTGTTTGTTCGAAGCAAGGATTTCGTTCAAAGAAAAATTTAGAAAGCAATAAACCACAAGATGAAACTAGATAAGGATGCAAAGCATTGTTATATATGTCGAAGAAAGGAGAAGATAAATGGGTTGTTTGTAGGGTTGTTGCTGAGCACAATCATGAACTTGCATCTCCAAATAGTCAAAAGTTTTTGCGGTCAAAATGGAAAAATGGATACCAGCATATGTGCGTAGCACTTTTTGTGCAGGCATGTCGACAAGTCAAAGAAGTGAGAGTATGAACAAATTTTTTAAAGATTATTTGAATTCTAGTACTCCAATGAGTGTATTTGTGGTGCAATATGATAAGGCTATTGACGCTAGATATGATAAAGTAAGGGAGAAGGATTACAAGACAAAACATTCAAGACCTATCTTGAAAACTTTGTATCCTATGGAAGATGAAGCAGCGAAGGAATATACAAGAAAAATGTTTCAGATTTTTCAAGAAGAACTAATTCAGTCTCAAAAATTTATCGCCGAAAAGATTGAGGTCAAGGATGGAGCAAACATCTATAAAGTACATCAGCTTCAAAGACAAAGGCCAGCATATATCGTTAGTCTAGATCTTGCATTGAAAAGAGCTGTTTGTTCATGTCACAAGTTCGAGTTCATGGGAATTCTATGTAGACATGTACTAATGGTATTTATAAAAAAACAGATTCACTCACTTCCAATGGATTATTTATTAGATCGATGGACAAGAAACGCAACCAAAGAAAAAGCTAATGACCCCTCAAACGTAACACAAACTTTGAAACCTTCTACTTTGTGGTTTAATAACATTATGATGCATTCTATTGGGTTATCTGAACGAGCTACAAAGTCTGAAAAACATTATCAATTTGCGCATCAAAGATTATTGCAATTGTGTGGAGAACTTGATGAGCTTTCTTATGAATCTGAGGAAGATTGTGTATCAGGTGGTCAAGTTAGTGAGAAAGATCAGGAAATAAACTCATGTGAACAAAGTCAAGATGTTACTTTGCATGACCCTCCGGTAGCAACAACTAAAGGGCGCCCGAGATCTTTGAGGATGAGAGGTTTTCTAGAAGTTACTCAGAAGACCAAAAAAGTTTCGTCTCCAAAAATTAAAAGAAGATCTTCTCAAAAGCAAAAAAGGCAAACAAAAAGTGTGAAACTTAAGAGAAAGGAAACAAGGTAATTTCACTTAGCATGATGCATATTATTTCTATTGGGATTACTTTTGTAATAACTTCTAAAATTACATTTGTAGTTCAAACATTAATGCTTATTCAGAATTTTATCAAGAATATGTTGAGAACGCTGGTTGTGCTTATGCCACCTCATTTACAGTAAGAATTGCTCTTTCTTTAATCATGTCGTGTATATATTGTTTACATGATAAGATGCGTGTTGATGAATTATTATTCTCTTATCAGGATTTGATGAAAGCGGCTTCAACTCCATTCCAACAATATCGTCCTAGTTAGTGAGTAAAAAGATAGAAGATTTGGAGCTTTGAGAATAAGAAGGAAAGAGGAATAAATAGTTCTTTAGATTTAGATTTATTAGTTTTTCTCTGTTTTTTAATTCTAAATAGTCCTTTCATAGTTTATTTTGATGTGTTTATTGTGTAAAGACAGTATTAGTATTTGGACATAATCAACAGATAAGCATGTTGATCAATGAACTGAGTTTGCTAGTGTATATGATTTTATTACATGGTTGATTTTTTTCTAGTTACTGGATCATCTCTTGTTTGGACAAAATAGATTCCTTGTCTAGCAGGTTCTCTTGAATATGAGATCGTCTCTTATCTTTTGTTTATTTTTACTGTGTGGTTGCTCCTCATCAAACAAAAAATATTTTTACTACATACTTTAGGTTTCTGATTACATCTGGTACTGATATGCCGCAAGTGTTATGCTCGGTTGCATCCTCGTGCTGTCAACTGCCACAAGAAGAAGTGTGGACACAACAACCAGTTGAGGCCTAATAAGAAGATTAAGTACATACTGAATTCTAATTGCTGCTAACTTGTAGTCGCTTGGATTTTCTTATTAAAAAATAGAGTACTTGAATTTATTTTTTGCTTTCCTGTTCATTTTACCCTTTAGAGATTGATAGACTTGTATTTGGGAGGTATATGAAGATTTTTTTCTACTTAAAATAAGACTCATTAATTTCGAGGCGTGTTTTGATAAATAGTTAGGAAACACATGATAGTTAATGTAGGATACTCGCAAGAAAATGATACTACTTCGGTGTGCAGGCCCCTGTGATACACCAGATGTTGTTGAGCTTTTTCTCTCTTCCTCCTCTCTCACCAGCTGCTAATAGTATCATCAGTCTATGAATTTTCTCTTCATTTCCAAAATGGCACCAGAACAAGTACAAAGATCTGGACGTAATACATTACATAAATTTTAATTTCAGTCTTTCATATTTTGTATAAAATTTCATTTCATTTCATACAATTGTACAAATTCTGAATACATTTATATTTGAAATCATAAAACGTCTCTTTTTTGCTCTTCAAATCATCTTCCATTTCTTTTACACCATGTAATATACATGTTGTTTGAATGGATAAGAGGAGCTTTATATGCATCGTTGTTGACTACTGTGAAGATAGAAATATGACATAAATCATAAGGTAGTCTAGAAATTTTTTCCAAAGAAACAAGATGGCTACAACTTTATCGTCCTTCACATTCCAATGGGTCGTGTCCAAGCAAACAACATTGATGACCTAGCTCGTTTGGCTGATGAGTATGGTTCAAGAGAGCTCCGATTGACTGTGGAACAGAACATTATTAGTACTACTAGTATCCAGTTTTATGGACAAGACAAAAGTAGTTCGTTGAATATAACTGAAGAAGTTCAAAAGCAAGCATCTCTTATGAGGCTAGCACGGAAGCACTAGATAGGTTGCCAAATTGGTGTGCACAAGTTTTGAAAAAACTAGCAGAATGACATTATTTAATGGAAGATCCAAGATACCACTATATACTTTAAAATGTGAAATTTGTTCTAATTGTATAGCGACATACCACTAGGTAGAAGAAGCTTGTCAAGTTTCAAAATCGCCTGATGCCTTTAAAAATTATTACTTAGCAAATTCACAAGTTTTGAAGCTTTGAAGAACTACATAAGCATGATTCTGGGAAAACATACGGTAAAACTCAATATTGTATTTA